CGCTGTTTCTTACAAATCAGATATGACAGGGCCAAGAAGTTTCATTAATGTGATTGAAACAACAGGGTCCAGGCGTTTCAAGGCAAAGATTTTTCCAGGAGGTGAAGCAGGAAGCGATAGTCATAGAAAGGAGGAAATTAAGCAGTATTTTAGAGTCTTTCTGTGGAGTTTGGTTTTCACTATTCCGGTGTTTTTAACCTCCATGGTGTTCATGTATATTCCTGGAATTAAGCATGGCCTAGAAACTAAAATAGTGCATAATCTCATGATTGGGGAGCTCATGAGGTGGATTCTGGCCACTCCGGTGCAATTCATTATAGGCCGGAGGTTCTATACTGGGGCATACAAATCACTACGGCATGGTTCTGCGAATATGGACGTGCTGATCGCATTAGGAACAAATGCAGCCTATTTTTATTCAGTCTACTCGGTAGTGAGAGCTGCTACCTCTCCAGATTTTATGGGTACTGATTTCTTCGAGACTAGTGCCATGCTTATTTCATTCATTCTTCTTGGAAAGTACCTAGAGGTATTAGCTAAGGGGAAGACATCAGATGCCATTGCCAAACTGATGGACTTGGCACCTGAAACAGCAACATTATTGGTACTAGACGAAGAAGGAAATGTGATAAATGAAGAGGAAATTGATAGTAGGTTGATACAAAAGAATGATATCCTTAAAATTATTCCTGGGGCGAAAGTAGCTTCAGATGGTTATGTTACATGGGGGCAAAGCCATGTTAATGAGAGTATGATAACGGGCGAAGCACTGCCGGTCGCAAAAAGAAAGGGTGATTCAGTCATTGGAGGTACTTTGAATGAGAATGGTGTCCTACATATCAAGGCAACTAGGGTTGGTGCAGAAAGTTCCCTTTCGCAAATTGTACGGCTTGTTGAGTCAGCTCAGATGGCCAAAGCTCCTGTACAGAAATTTGCTGACCGCATTTCCAAATACTTCGTGCCACTGGTATGAATTATAACATGATTAATTAGTCAAGTTCTTTAAGGATTTGTTTTGGTTCAACTGAAAGGATACCGGAGGCTATTTCTTAAAATGTGGTTTTAATTTGCAGGTGATCCTACTTTCATTCTTGACCTGGCTTTCCTGGTTTTTGTCTGGAAGATACCATGGCTACCCTGAATCTTGGATACCATCTTCCATGGATAGCTTTGAGCTTTCTCTCCAGTTTGGAATCTCTGTCATGGTTATAGCGTGCCCTTGTGCTTTAGGCCTAGCAACTCCCACAGCTGTCATGGTTGGAACTGGAGTAGGCGCATCTCAAGGTGTGTTGATCAAAGGAGGCCAAGCATTAGAAAGTGCACATAAGGTTAGGAAGTGGCATCCTTATAGCAGTTTGATGCTTTCTATAATATCGAAATTGGCAATTTTCTGCATTGGGGCAGTATAAGAGCAATTATTATGCAATTTAATGATCAAGTGTAACTATAGATTTGATTGATGATGTTTTAGGTGAACTGCATTGTGTTCGACAAGACAGGGACTCTCACAATTGGAAAGCCAGTGGTTGTTAACACACGACTCCTGAAAAATATGGTGCTGCGAGAATTCTATGAACTTGTTGCTGCAGCTGAGGTCGGTTTTAACATATAAAACACGTCTGTAGTATTTTTAGAAATTCATGAAGAGTTTTTTTATATGTTCATTATTATCCACAATGATTTGAAGCTTCACTATTTTGTATGATTTATATATATATATCAGGTGAACAGCGAACACCCGTTGGCTAAGGCCATTGTTGAGTACGCCAAAAAGTTCAGAGAAGACGAAGAGAATCCTGCCTGGCCAGAAGCAAAAGACTTTGAATCCATTACTGGTCATGGGGTGAGGGCCATTGTTAGGAACAAGGAAATAATTGTTGGCAACAAGAGTTTGATGGTGGAGCGCAACACTGCGGTTCCAATTGATGCAGAAGAGATACTTGCAGAAGCTGAAGGACTTGCTCAAACTGGGATTTTAATAGCTATAGATGGAAAAGTGGCTGGAGTTCTGTCCATATCTGATCCACTGAAACCAGGTGCTCAAGAAGTAATTTCCATACTCAAGTCTATGAAAATTAGAAGCATAATGGTGACAGGTGACAATTGGGGAACTGCAAATTCTATCGCTAATGAAGTTGGAATTGAGACCGTTATAGCAGAAGCCAAACCCGATCAGAAAGCAGAGAAAGTGAAGGAATTGCAGGTACATATAATGAATGTTAATTTGTTACAAACTACAAGAGTATGTTATTAACTTCATGCACGTTACTAAATTTCAATGTTCACAGGCTTCCGGCAACATCGTGGCAATGGTGGGAGATGGAATCAATGACTCACCAGCACTTGTGGCAGCGGATGTAGGAATGGCAATTGGTGCAGGAACAGACATTGCCATTGAGGCAGCTGACATTGTTCTAATGAAAAGCAACTTGGAGGATGTGATAACTGCGATTCACCTTTCCAGGAAAACTTTCACCCGTATCCGTTTGAACTACATTTGGGCTTTGGGATACAACGTTCTTGGCATTCCAATAGCTGCAGGAGCCCTTTTCCCATATACTGGATTTCGTTTACCACCATGGATTGCTGGAGCTGCAATGGCTGCTTCTTCGGTCAGCGTTGTTTGCTGCTCTCTGCTGCTGAAGAATTATAAAAGGCCAAAGGTTCTGGACAACTTGGAGGTACGCGGAATAAGTATTGAGTGATTGATTAGGAGCCTTTTAATTCTGTTGTGTGTACGCGTGGAGGACTCAAGTTCGAGTAATTTGAGTAGTGGTTTGGCTGCAATAGCAAATATGTAATCATTTAGGTTGTTTACATACGTTCTGTATATATAAGCGTATACGTATGCAAGTTTCGTTAGAACACATGACATGCATTTGTAGTGTTATTATCGTAATTGATGGATGCTTAAATCATCCATGAAAAAGGAAAATCATCCATCCAGTCTCCATCTGAAAGTGAATTACGTAAATGAAGGGCTCTTCTCTAAGTTTCAAGGGAATCTTCCTTTGTGCTTGGTCTTCTCCTTCTTTCTCCCTAGACCTCCTATTATTCCCCTTTTGTTGTAAGATAGCTGCACTGTTGAGACCTGCAGTTTGCTTCTTCTCGAGACGCTCCTTTCCCAGGGCAGCCTTCCACATGCGCTAATTCTGGTAGCGCACCTCATGACTTTCGCCCGCTGATTGTCTGTGCAGGCTGGGAAGGGAAAGTCAGCATTAAATGCCTGACTTGCTGGGCTTAACATACATTTTGTTGGTACCATATTATATTGGGCCTCGTTACTTGGGCTTCCAAACATTGAGCCCATGATTTATGTAAAAGGAGAGGAGCCCTTAGTCTATAAAAGGGACTCATCACCATCACAATCCTCAGGCCTCACATCCCCAAACAGAGGGCTCACATCCGGCAACCCTCTCACAAACAGAGAAACACTTTCAAACTCTCTCTTTCTCTGGGTGATTCCCCCTCACACTTGTAATCCATACATTCATATAGAGAAATACAATCAACATCAGTGTGGACGTAGCCCAAACATTAGGATGAACCACGATACATCTTGTGTTCTTTACTTTCTTGCAGATTCACGGTCGGATTTACATTGTTCCAAGCCATTCCGGTTTTGTGCATCAACATTTGGCGCCATCTGTGAAAAAAGACACGAAAAGCTATGTTGGTCCTCTCTCAATTTTTCATACCTTCACCGTGAATCTGTAGAAACCTAAAAACCAAACACCTGCACAGTCACTGCAAAACCCATGTCTTCCGCTTCAACTTCCAGACACGGCAGCATCGATGGAAACAGTCACATTCCTTCTTTCTCTCTCCTCTCACTAACCCATACAGAGACACAGACACCGATCTCTCTCTCTCTCTTCTTTCTCTCTCTCATCACGTCTCATTGTGTACAGTCAATCAGTCACAGATCTTTGCTCCAGTGAAAAAAAAAATGAAGAATGGCAACAAGTTCAAATTGTGAGAGAATTGGTACCAAAACGTGGAAGAAGATCGAGTTTAAAAGCTGAAAGTGAGCGACTTGTTCATTTATTTCCCTATGTACTATTAAGTCGTGTCGTCTATACAAAGCACAACTCTCTCTCTCTCTGTGAGTCGGTGAGTATCTGGGGAGGGCTATGAGATTGCTAGTGTCTGTGTGGTGGCGGATTAGATTGACAAAACTGACAATGGTTGAGCCGGCCTCATCGATCTGGTTTCGATGCTAGCTGCCCGTGCATTTAGGTCACCAAGAATTGTCATTGTGGATATGGATGACCAGCGTCTAGCAATAGCGAAGTCTCTCGGTGCTGATGACACTGTCAAAGCTTTCGACAAAAATGGAGGATTTGGATGATGACATTGCCCAAATCAAGACAACCATGAAATCCAACGTGGATGTGAACTTCGATTGTGTTGGTTTTTAACAAAACCATGTCAACAGCTCTTGGTGCCACCCATCCTGGCGACAAAATTTGCCTTGTCGGAATGGAAAACGGCGATGACATTCCCACTTACTCCAGCTGCTGCCAGGAAAGGTGTCGCCTCCGACGAGGGAACTGTGACCGGCGCCCACCGTTTTCGATGGGTCTTTAACCTACCCCTTCAGAATTTTCAATCATCCAACAACGCGGCCAATGGCTATAACCTAGCTACTTCATCTCCAAACCTCCGTGCTGGTGGCGAAATTAAGATCGAAACTAGTAAGAATGAAGTTGTTGAACAGTAGGTCATGGACGAACGAGAAGCATGTCGAGTTTTTGAACAGCATGGAGGAATCCTTCGTGCGTGCCATGTTTGAGAAGAAGAAGGATCACCGTCATCCTTCTCGTCTCGACCGGTACTTTCCGAACACCTCTGACTCAACCCTAGATCTCAAAACCAACAGCAGAATTTCCAAAAACCATAACTCTTCACAAGGTGGCAGAATGGGTGGTAGATGTCATAAAAGATCGAGGATGTTATCATCTCAGCCGTCCATTGCATCACAAAATCAGCAAGCAGTGCACCGCCATTCATGGATTCAAATACCCACCAACACAATAGGTTGCTATAACAAAAGGTTTACACTGTAGCAAGCAGTGCACCGCACATCCACAACCACAGCAGTAGCAGCAGCAGCTACAACAGAAATCCACCAACTCAAATATTTCTCTCCTCAGCCAATCAGAGAAGCTTGACGTCACCGACTCCAATATTGGAGGATGTGACATTCAGAAGCAAGAAATTCTAGAAGCAGTAGAACTACCGCTTACTCACCACGAGTGATACAAACAGACTGGAACTGCCTCCGAATCTGTACAAGATCGATTCGATTAGGGCTGAGATAAAGAATGGAGTTTTGAAGCTGGTGATTCCGATGGTGAAGGAGGAAGAGAGAAAGGATGTATTTAAGGATTCCCAAGTTCAGGAGCCATGTAATGGGCATCCAGCTCGAAGCCACCTTCCTCCCGCGCACCAGGACCACCGACGTCGACTATATCCAACCTCTGCATCGTCATCGTCGGCACCTGACAAATCGTTGGCAAGTCCAAGCTCGATCTCCTGCACCACAAGCTTTCCTCTGCGAGAGCACATGGGTGACACTGCAAAAGCAAGGAATAAAGAGAGCAGACCATAATTTCGTCAAAAATAGAAAAAGAGAGAAGGTCATCTGAAAAAGAAAATCTGACTCCTATTAGTTAAAGTGGTGGTGAGTCCCTCATAGTAATGTAGGCTGGGCCATTGGCACGAGTTTTGTTTCTTTTGATGCATTAGTGCAAAAGATCAACACAGAAGGCATTGCTTTACAGGGTTCTGGATGGGTAAGACTTGCTTTAGACAAAAAATTGAAGGACCTCGTGGTTGAAACCACTGCAAATCAGATGAAGGGAAGCGCATGTTCCCACCATGCCCATTTTCTGAAAAAGCCAAGGGAAAAACGGAGATAAGATTCTTTCCTTATAATAATTCTATTATTATCTCTGGTATTGTCAACCACTCTCACAAAGGAAAAAGTAAAAAAAAAAAACTCACAGGTACATGCAGAGAGTAACTTGTGTAAAATGGGGTGGAGACGGTGTCATATATATAGGCTCCCAGGATTGTACTATCAAAGTATGAGAGACCATGCCTGCTGACCAAACTTGCCTCCACATGAAGGTTTCATCCAACAGCTGGACCGCTGAGGTTGATGTGAAGGGAGAAATCTTGTTGTTGCCAAGTCCCAGCAGTTTGTTTTTTTATGATGTGATTTACTTTTCTTATCTTTTGGAGACATCTGTATAACCCCACCAGAGGGTAATCATAAATAAAGAAAGAAGACAGCATGCCCAAAAAAAAAAAAAAAAAAAAAAAAAAAAAAAAAAAAAAAAAAGGAAAATGTTGGCAAGCCAAAAATAGTGGGTTGGAATGTTATGTGGAGGGCGAAGGCCCATATGCCCATAAGAGCCAGACCCTATAGCTTCAAACTCCAACCTCCATCCCTCCACTTAAGGTTCACCCTCTGTTATCACCAACCAGGTGATCAAAAGTACATCCAGTACTCCAAAATTATTCGGTAGTCTACCGTTATTATCACCAACCAGGTGATCAAAAGTACGTCCAGTACTTCAAATTTATTCGGCAGCCTGCCACTATTATCACCAACTAGGTGATCAGAAGTACGTCCAGTACTCCAAAATTATACATGAGCATCACTCATGTCAATCATACATAAACATTCATGAGCATTACTCATGTCAATCATACATAAACATTCATGAGCATCACTCATGTCAACATTCATGAGCATCACTCATGTCAACATCCATGAGCATCACTCATGTCAATCAACATAAACATTCATGAGCATCACTCATGTCAACCAACTTCGAAAGCTTCATTTACAAAGCTCTGACTTCAAAGCTTCATTTACAAAAGCTCCAGCTTCAAAGCTTCACTTTCAAAGCCTCACCTATAAAACTTCACTTTCAAAGCTTCACCTACAAAGCTTCAATGCATGGTATACAAAGACCGCCTCCGAACAACCGCCACTTCGGCCCATACATAGATTGAATTTCAAGTCTCCAGCCAACAAACTCTATTGACTGAAGACTTAGGGGACTACACTATGTACCATATATTGGGCTTCCGCAACTGGGCCTCATGAAAAATACTTGAGGGACTTAACCCTTTATTTATGTACTGAAGAGCAAACCCTTATTCTATAAAAGGGACTCCCTTACTTTCATTAGAGACACCCATTATTCATGTATTGAAGAGCGAACCCTTATTTTATAAAAGTGACTCCCTCACCTTCATTAGAGAGACTCTTAGCCCATCACTTATGTATTGAGGAGTGAACCCTTATTCTATAAAAGGGACTCCCTCACCTTCATTAGAGAGCATCACCGCCAACTGAGCAACCGCCTCGTCTCGAGCATCACTCATAACCCATCACTTATGTATTGAGGAGCGAGCCCTTATTCTATAAAAGGGACTTCCTCACCATCATTACAAAGCATCACCGCCTGTTGAGCAACCGTCTCGCCACGAGCATCAACTCTAACCCATCATTTAGGTATTAAGGAGTGAGCCCTTATTCTATAAAGGGGACTCCCTCACCTTCAACGCCACAAGCCGAGCAGCCTCGCAACATGTGCTATTTCTAGTTGAGCATCATTTCACATTGAGTACTGCATCATATTGAATATCAATTCTAGACGACATCTAGTTACTTCAGCCCACACATGGACTGAATTTGAAGTCTCTAGCCAAAAGACTCTCTTGACTGAAGACTTGAGAGACTACTGTTGGTACCATATTATATTGGGCCTCGTTACTTGGGCTTCCAGACATTGAGCCCATGATTTATGTAAAAGGGGAGGAGCCCTTAGTCTATAAAAGGGACTCA